AATTCCATGCAGAGTTTTAAGAGCTGAAAGCAAAAACTTGATGGTGGAAGTGTTTAAACAACTACTTTAAACTCTGGCAATTCTTTTGAGTTCAAATAGAAATATTAATATGTATTTTTGAAGAACCACAGAAATTGTGACTTCTGAATTGAGTCTCATTTACCTAAAACTAGAAATAAAAAAGAAAATTAACAAAAATCCCGCCAGCATATACTTAGCAGGAACTATGTCTGCTGAAGGAGGAGAATTATTTCAGAAGAATGAAATGTTTTGAGTCCAGTAAGAGTGACTGTTTTAGCAGTCTATTATAGAATCAGAACAGTTAAAATGCTATTGGTGATGAAAAGACAGTTAAGTGGCTACAGGTATTACAAGATTATCATGATCAGAGCAGACAAAACTGGAAAGCTAATACTTAATTCACTCAATGTGCGATTCTCAAACCTTAGAAACACAAGACCTCCCTACAAAGATTATGCAATTTCTGAGCTACAACAGCCAAATTATTTAGCAAAAACAAGCTATTGTGGACTCATGTGCCTTACTTACATATGTGCTGCCAATTTCTGCTTCAGGTTGCTAGACTATAAAAGGAAAGAGTTAAAATTCAGTTACATTGCAGTATTTCTTACAAATCCGCCAAGAATACTTAGCACACCTAAATAAGTCAAACCAACTAAATCCTAAGAAAACTGCCTTTTTCATGCATTTCTGTAACGGCGTTCATATTTTTTGCATCGCACAGACACTAATTCCAGCACCTTTTTTCTTTCAAACTACCTTCTCACTGTATCATCATTTAATGACAAAACTAGAGATTTTTTTAAAAGTAAAGTAGAACGTAGAAGCATTACAGTTCCTTAAAGAAGGCAAGAGGAAGGAATCCTGCAAAACATGAGCTTTTCAAATGAAATGCAGTTTGTGCATAGATCTCATGGATTCTCATACTATAGAGGCTAAACTCATCTGCTCTGAACACAGCGTAGCCAAGTCTGAGGGAGTTGTTTTCATGCAGGAGTTTGTAGACTACATTGAACGGCCTCATTTGTTTAAGATCTTTGCTTGTAAGGTCTTTCGAGAGGTGAGTGTTTGTTTGGGTTGGGGCAGGGTGGGTGACCCAAAGGCGCCTCACAGCACGCTCACCTGTACTACTGCATAAACTAGTCTGTTTCAACTAGCTTAAAAAAAAAAGTACCAAGCCACGATCCTGCCTTCTTAGCAGTTATCAGCACTAGACACACTGAAAAAGAAGAGGCGCTTCTACGCCACTGAGCAACCTGCTCTAGTGGGAGGTGTCCCTGCCCACGGCAGAGGGGCTGCGAACTAGATGATCTTTAAGGTCCCTTCCAACCCTACCCATTCTGTGTTTCTATGAAATAAAGGGAGAAGGAGGAAGAAATTTTTTACAATGAGGGTGGTGAAACACCTGCACAGGCTACCCAGAGAGGTGGTAGAAGCCCCATCCCTGGAAACACTCAAGGTCAGGTTGGACAAGGCTCTGAGCAACCTGATCTAGCTAAAGGCGTCCCTGCTCACTGCAGAGAGGGTGGAGAAGATGACCTTTAAAGGTCCCTTCCAACCCAAAACATTCTATGATTCTAAGACTCGATGTTACACTGAAAGATTTTAAACAAAACTGCCAAGAAGTCTTCAAGGTCAAGAAGCCTGAACTTTCACTTACTCCTTCAGTCTTGGATCCCTGCTCCTGTAAAGTCTTTTGCAGATCTTCAATCTGCTGCTGTAACTCCCCAATACGCTCTTCATTTAGCCTTTTTGGAAGAAAAGACAGTTATTACCCAGCTAAATAGATCACAACAGTCAGATTTTTCTGTTCCATGTCTGGATGAGAATTTTTCAGAGGGTCTACCAGCAGGACTTAAGCCACAATTTCAAATGCTTTTAGTTTGACTTGAATGTCTGCTGAAACTAACACATGGCAGCTTTACTATACATTTTATAATGGAATATCTAGAATAATTTTAAGTTTTGAGAAAACTTAACTACCCAAAATTCTCATATCCTAGTAACCTGCTTTCAGCACTCACTAAACTGATAGAGAAATTCAGATTATATCCCAGTGCTACAACAGGATTAGTTTGAAGTTTAGAAATAGAGTTTACATACATTCTTGGCCTACCAAGAATCATTAAGAGCTAAGAAGAGTGTCCTACAAGCAACAATTTCTTCAGAGTACTCTACACAGAGATCTACCACCTTTTACACCACCACATTCAAGCTACTCTCCTTCTTGCTTGCTTGCTTCATAACCCTTTGTTAACGATTACACTGGTGAAAGAAAAAGGATAATTGGCTTCCTGCACAGTGCGACACTACAGGTGCAAGCCACAAGGCCACTCTGAAGGTCCAGCTATATTTTAAGATGCTGTTTCACTCATCACCTTTTCTCAGTTTCTAGTTCGTTCACTGTCCGATGCTTTTGCTCCAGCTGTTCCTGGAGCTCTGCAATACGTTCATTTTGTGATCCTTCCTGTTGCAATAGAAGCATCTTATTTTCATGCTGCAGCCGAATAAACATTTCTCTGAATCAAAAACAACAAAACAGTCACTGTTACGAAAAAGTTGACTAAGAGTAGGAGGTAATATTCCTGCTCATTCCCCCAACCTTAAAGTGAGCAAAACAAGTTCTGCTTAAGCATATAGTTGGGGTAACAATGCAATTTTTCTTTAAAAGGTAACTTACAATTTTCAAGCACCACAATAGTTTTTAAGAGATACGAACAATGCTTTAAATTAAGTCACTCCAAACCCAGATTTTATTGTGCCTTTATGTTTCACTCTGTCAGACTTTAAAAGTAGTATTAGGTAGTCTTTAGCCGTTCTGTTGTAGTTGCTGTGTATTATTTATTTGTTCTGTCTGCTGATGGCAAGATAAGAATTGTTTTGCTCCTTAAAGAGGATGTTTCAAGTTGAACTTTATAGAGAGCAACCTGATATGCTTTTAAGAACGCAAAGTCATTATAGCACGGGGAAATAACTATTAACAGCTACATGAGGGTCCAGACAAGCATCATGGAGGGAAAGCAAGAAGTGGAATACAGAGTCATGTTGCCAAAAACCAATAGTGAACTTTTCCAGAGACAGTATTAGGCCCCACCCATTAAAATCCCAAAACAACCTCAAGTTTTTAGTCTTACCTATATTCCACTGGCAGAATTTCAGCAGCAAGATTCTCCTGGCTTTTAACACGAGATGCACCTGAAATTGCATGGGAAGTTTAATTTAACAAACTTAAAGAAATCACTGATATATATAAAAAAGCCTCTGAAGATAAAGAAATACCTGTTTGACTCAGGTGGTCCTGCTGCATCTGCGAATACCGGAGCTCTTCATTTGTCTCTTTTAATGCATCACACTGCACTATCAGTCTCTAAGACGACATATTTGAGGTGGAATTAAGTCATACCGCACCACTTTAAGACCAAATAACATTAATCAGGAACAGTACTGACACACAGACATTTTAAGACTTATTTTATGTCTTGTATGTGTATACGCACACACACACGCGAGCTGCTAAACTTCATTTTTACGCTAGCAGTACTTCTGGGAAGGTTTTCCTCAAGCAGATCATTTAAGAGAGATTTATTAGATGTTCAAATAAATCCTCGTTCAAGAGACTTACCTCTTTTTCTTTGATTAAAGCTTCATGTTTTTCTTCAAGTCGCTTCATTTCAAATGCTAGCTTATCAGCTCTTTTTGATTCTTCAGACAGTTTGTTATGAAGCTCCTGGACCTTTTTATAAAAAGATTATATTCAGCACATGAATATTGCAAGATGCTACCTTTAAAAGCTATGTTAAAGCTTTCATTCTGGCCCGGTTCAGCCAAAATAAACATCTGGTCCTCCAACCTTGGGGGAGAGGAGATGGGATGGGCACCTGTGTGTTTGGGGTTTTTTTTGTTGTTGTTTTTATTTGGTTTTGTCAGGGGTTTTTTTGTTTTCCTTTCAAATATTTAACTCCTGCGCCTCTTAATTACTACTGAAATAAGCAAAGCTGAAAAAATCTTCTACAGTTTAAAATTAATTTCTGTGAAGAAAGTTAAGAATATTACATGCAAGTGTTCTCAGCAATAGCTGAACAACGTCTCCCTGTTAGAGCAAAGAAGGAAAGCCTGCAAAACCATGGCAACCAATCACTTGAGGGGGCAACTACAGTTAAGCTTGCTAGTTTAATAAACAGGGAAAAACAAAAAGGGAATGGCAGAGTATGATGGAGTTTTCACAAATTAGAAAGTCTAAGGGCAGGTTAAGCTCATGGGCTGTTAAATTAAGCTTTTTTTTTTTTTTCCCCCATTGAAACACAACGAAAATCATTTTATTTAGGTAAGATGACTATCTGAGGAAGAAGTAACATCTGAAGCATAGACACAGCCTTACCTGTCTTTTGTAGGTTTCTAGCTGGGCACGTGCTGCATTGGCTTTCTTCAGTTCATCCTCCAGGCTGACTGTATTGTGCATATACATCATGTTGGTTTCCTGCAGAGATTTGACTTGTCTGCGGAAGTCATTCAGATCCTGTAGCTTTTTACGATACACTTCAACAGTTGATTCCAGCTTACTGGCCTTGTCTGCCGTAGTCCTTAAAGTACAAACAGGAATTAGAAGAAAGAGTATGTTTCTTCAAAAAAAGTCAAGTTCTGCTTTCATGTACATTCAAGCTATTTTCAACTGGAGATGCAACAGGCTTAACAGCAGTTAAATCTCACTGCTTTATTTTTCATGCATAATCAATGCAAACTCACGTTATGCAAAGACTGCTTATAAAATCACCACACGGTTTAAGTGGGAGTAAGACTGACATTCTTACGCCAGAAGTGCAAGCAAGGGTTAGTAAGTCAAATGTATCTAGGGAATTTTGTGGGGTGCAAGGCAAATGCACCACAACATCCAGTGCTAGATAGTCATCTCAAAGCACTGGTACCTGGTAAGGAAAAACACAGATGTTCTAATTATGTATAACCCCACAATGAGAACATAATTGCACTATGAAAATGATTATGAGCAGATACGACCAAGAATTGCCAGTTGATCATTAACAAAAATCTACGTGGTAAGAAGAAGTTTGGATCATAAATACACAAGTTAATTTTAATATTGTGTTTAATATCTGCCATCTCATATCACTAGAAGCTAGTACAAGAAAATTATGGAAGAAAATCTATAGTTAAGATTTGTTTCAGATGTTGTTTGAGAACCACTATAAGTTAAACAACTGAAACCACTTTTCTTTCCATGTTTTATTCTCACTATTTTATGAACAGCAGACTTGCTTTTGCAGTATGATTTACTTTGGATATTTCTTGGGTGGCCTGGTATCTAATTTGGTTTACACAAGCTAGAATTTTATTCTCATCGAGGTTGTGTACTTCATCTTCACTTTGTTAATCACGTTGCTAACGTAAATCTAGCCTAGAATGCTGACACCAAAAGCTATGTTGAAGCAGTGGCTGCATATATGCTTTTCTACATCAAAAAAAGCAGCCGCTTGCCAAGACAAATGTCCCCTTAATAAGAATGCACTCCCCCCCCCCCCCGCAATGTTTTAAAGTCTTGCAGAACTTCAACCTTCCATCCCACATAAAAAGCATCAATTTCTGTATTCACTAATGCTGCTTCACAGAAAAATTCCATTTTGCTATTCTTATGCAAACAATAGAGGCTATGCCTGAAAGCCTGCACTCCACCTCTGCTTTGACAAAAGGCGCTTTTTCCAACATTTTATATCTCATTCAGATAAGATCTATCTGCAGAAGTAACATCTCAGAAGAAATCTTGTTAAACACAAAGCCTTGGATTTGCATTAAATCCTCCTAAAGTGCGCGTGGGGAGCTTGCTCTATTACATACCTAAGAATATCATTTTCATCTTTCAAGGCTCTAGATTCTTCTGCCAACGAGGTTAGTTCATTGTTTCTATGTTGCAGTTCAATCAATTGTTTTTCTAGGTCTTCACAATGGACACGATAATCATCTTTTGCAGCTTCAAGCCTACCAGATGAAAAACAGGGATTCTGTTAAGAACTCATCATTATCACACATTTTTTCACTTACTGCTGGAACCACTAAAAACAAGACAAAGGAAAACTATTGATTTAAGTAGCCAGAAAAATGGTACTGTAAGCATGAAACATTGTATCGTCTATCTGTTAAATCATAATGGATGATACCGCAAATTTACCATGTCAATATCAAAGGATCACATGAAAAGTGATTTCTCCCCCACCCCATAGGGATGACAGGGAGAAAAACTTATGTGAAAGAAATCAGTACAGTAAGAAGATATGGTTGTTTCAGGGGGGTTACGGGTATTTTTAGGGGGGATTGTTTACACACAAATCACTTCAGCACTCATTTTCCGCCTTTGACCACCTTTTTTGATGTGTCAAATGGCTACAATATGGCAATTACAAAGAGCACTTTCTATACCCAGTAACAGTTTCTTTTTCTTTTTAAAGGTAAGGACTGCTTTTAAGACACTTTTATACAGTACTAGCAAGTTCTATAGCAAAGAAATTGAGATGGAAAGTCCTGAAAGAGTATCAGAAATTCTCAAGATATATCTGACATGACAAGTGAGGGACTTTTGACAGAAATCATTTCATACCTGAAGTTTTCTTCTTGCAGTTGTTCCAGCTGCAACTGCGCGTGAAAATACTTTTTTGCAACCACAGTATTTGGATCATCAAGAGAGTCATCTAATTGCTCTAGCCTGTCATTCATAATTTCATTTTCTGACATCAAGCTGTTTTTTTCATCCTGGAGGGCAGCCACCTAGTGCAGATAAAACAGCATCAACACTGTAAGACCTGATCAACTGCAAAGAACTAAAGCAAGACAGCAGTACATCACCAAATTAGTTTATGAGAACGGTTGAGCATTTAGAAACTTTAGAATGTAATTTACATAGCATACTTGAGCATACAGATGCTTTAGTGTACAACAGTTACGAAGCACTAAAGGAAAAGTCCCTCCAAAAAAAAAAAAAAAAAAGACAAATTTTTGTAGCTGAAACCATGGTAAAGGCAGACAATGTGATATGGAGAGAAACTGGTACTGTCATTAAAAAGGATACCACGGACGCCGTACAAAAAAACTTCTAAGTATCGGTGTAAAGGTACTCTCCACCTTGCTGGTACTTCACAATAAAAAGCAGGCTGGCACTGGCTAGCACACTAACACAGTACTGCCGTGCGCTCAGCAGTGAATGGTTGCGCAAGAAGCGGTTTCAGGCGCCATAAGCTAGGAAGCACACACGCAAAAGAAAAAACCTGGACAGCTTCATATAGAGCATGCATTTTTTGCAACAATCAGACAGGTCTGATATTGAAAGTGTTCACAGCTAAGCAAATGAGAATACAACACTTTATTGAAATAGTAAGTATATTAACAGCCATAAAATGGGGAAGGATTAAGAGGATAGAACCTTTAAAGTTTTTCTAGTGAAAGCTGTTGTGTTAATTTTAACATCCTGTCAAACATAAGAGCATGTAGCATGTGTTAGTTAACTGGCATTTAAACAGGGACAATATGCTTTCTGGGTTATGTTTCCTGAATCATAAAGAAAACCTACCTTTCTTATACTCTTGGAAAATATCAAGGAAGACTGAGACCTTACAAGTGAATTTATTAAGAATTAGTTTAAATGAGAAGTGTCAGTCAATATTATGGCTTCAAATAAATAAAATAAAAACAACATATCATGGTGACATTATTAGATCAAATGTCAGATATAACCTAGAGTATGCACTATTAAGAAACTGTTCGTGATCATAATTTATAAGTCTATCAGCCAAACAGATGTAAGAAACAAAACAGTAATTGATCTACCACTTCATTAGGTGCTGGCTTTCTAGGTTCACTCCTTTTTACGTACCAGATGTCACTTTACTATATACATGCACACAAAACACCTGTGAGTAGAGAGCATACCTGAGCCTTGCTCAGCATAGTACTTCCTGTTCAAGGTTCAGCCACTCCTTAAACATGCACAACATTCACACTTTTAGAATAATGTTAAAAGAACACCCGTCTCAGACTATTAAAAAAAAAAAACCAACAAAAAACTATCACAGAACTGAGAGCAAGTTTTGCATCTCTTCTCAGTTCCTTTCTGACAGCTTTTTTTCTTTTCTATTGTTTCAACATAACAGAAGCAGTGTCAAAGTTAACACAAATTGTCAAGTTATTTTAAAAACACCTCACATTTAAAGAGCTGTGGTGTCATTAAGTCATCCATTTATACTCAGCAGTACCTTTCCCTTGAACACCTTTCATGCCTTCACCTGGCCCACGCTATGTTATGAGCAGCCGGCTTTGTGTAACCTATCATTAATTAATATAGAAATCTCAAAAGGGAAGTTTGCCAGAGACAGGAGAAAGCCTGGGACTTCTCTGGTGAGACATACCAAGTCCCCTAACCGAAGCAGAAAGCACAAGTAAACTGTTATCCCAGCACCTCTATATGCCAGAGCTTTTAAACATCGTATGTTCACTGTTCAACAACTGTAATCTGTCAGTTCAGGTGTCAAATCAATCCTCTTGCCCATTTAAACAAAATAACTTTCTCCTGCAGATTCTGCTCGCAACTATTTTTAGATCTCTGCTTTTACTAGGAAGCATTACTACTGCCTCAACAAAAAAGAAAATTAAATATCAATTCAATTCTAACAATAGTTTCCTGGGCACGGCAATTAGCTATAAGCTGCTTTTATATATAAGTATTCTACTTTTTCAGTTGTCGTTACCAGTAAGAAATGCAAAACTGGCTTCTGGTTTTGTAGGCTTTTTTTCAGAGGCTCATACAGCCAGTATAGCACTGTGGCTCCTATAAGGAGATGCAACCCAAACGCCCTCTGTGTACAGAATCCAATCAGAGATCAACTGCCACTCCAGATAAACCTCCCTCTATTCTCAGATTACAGTGCCATAAAAGAGGAATCAGACTTAGGGCCAACAAATTAATTTTCTTTTCTTTTCTCTTTACGAAGTTGATTGAAATTCAAGTTCCTGCTTATTGTTATGAAGTCCCCTCCCCCTTTTCTAAAGAGTGCCCTGATTAACTTCTATATCCATTAAAAACAGAAGTAGGCCTATTATCAGTGTGGTTTGAAAACGTCAGTGAGGATCTACTAGTTTCCATTATTTTTATTTCCTGAAATATCCTCCATGTTGCAACTGCATATGAGAAGACTTAGTAAATTCTAGATAAATTTAAAATTTTAGTCTTTCATCAACTCCTGTTGAAAACAGCATCATTTTCCTACAATTACATCTAATGACTGACTATTATACGAACTGGATTTTTTGGACACATTCAAAAGACTAGAAGCAGCAGTGATTAAAAATAAAATCGGCAGTTTTTACAGCCACAGTAACATTGCTTTGACGGCTACCCACTACTAAGGGTGAACACAAAGCTAGCACACCAAATGACCTCCGAGTTAACGGTTGGCACAGGACCTCAGCTTACACTTTCATCAGAAAACTATTTCCAGTAATTGCATTTTTGAGTACAGAATGATTGCTTTCCTCCCATAAACAGCTAGGGATTCTCATAGAAACTTAAATAAATGCAAAATTCACTTTGCCCTTCAGAATTTCTGCATCTTAATAGAAGCACCACTACATTTTAAAAGAAGTAAGTGACTTGTTGTTTCTTACCTGTAAATCTAGCTCTTGACATCTTTGGGCCAACTCTTCCTTTTCTGCTAGTGCTTCCTGAAGATCTTCCAAAGCTTTTTTAAGCTTTTAAAGAATAACATAGTCCATCATTCTGGCTCATACCTAAAGTACTCACAGTTCTAAAATGTCTCAATTGCTTAGACCAGCTGCTTAAGAAGGGTATTAGGTGCACACATTAACACAGAAACCTATATATACACTGTTAGATCAGGATCTTTATTCATTTCACCTGCATTTTAAATGACTACCAGATTTAACAATTAAATTATTGAAACTCAGAGTAGCATTCAAATTCAACACAACAACTTAAGCTAAAAGCATAACAAAACCAAACACAGGAACATTAGTGTTGTCACAATTTCAAAAGCCCTGCCTGTTAAGACAAACGCCCTTCATTTCAGAATAGAAATACTGGTGCTCCTTTATGGGCAGCTACTTTTAAAGATAACTTCACTTGATGTGCAAAACCTTGCAGCGTTCAGGTTATCAAACACTTTCATGACCCCTTCAAAATAACGTGAAGTGTTTAGCCTGACATGGCTGAGCCTTGATGTACCCCTAGCTCTTCTTGCAATGTAGGTTTGCACTGGACAGTTTTACCCCATCCAGGAAGATGACATAGCAGTCACCGCATTGTTTTTTAAGGAAGCTATAATACAGCACATAACATAATTAGAACTGAAAACCAGCATTATTTTACTGTATATTCTCAGCCTACACCAGTATGTTGCTCTGCCCTTTGTGAACCAGTCTGGTTTAACCAGATTAGCTCCAAGCAGAAAACAGACCAAGCAGTTTGTGCAGACAGAACACAAAAAAGCGCAATTTATTGCTGAGGTTTGGTTTCGGTTTTGTTTTTTTTTTTGTTTTTTTTTGTTTTTTTAACTTTTAGAATTGGAGAGGAAGAGCACCCCCTCTTCATTTAAAGGATGGCAAGATACCAACTTATTGTTCAGGTTTGAACTACAACAGCAACAAATATTAGGCAATTACCTGCTGTTCTATTTCACTTGATGCATCACTTGTGGAAGGACCTGTTATTTCCTTGCTCATGAGCTGCAGAAAGAGGCCACAGGAAAAGAAGGTTAAACACCTATAAATTCACTTTACCAACCGTATTTTCCACCATGCCCTTGCATCCTGTCAATATATCAAAACAGATGATTAATAATTAAAAAAAGAAAAAAAAACAGCTCATGGTTGGTAAAGGATTTAAACAAATCTAGAACAAGAAGACTTTTTTTTTTACCTTCCCCCTCCTCAAATTAACCAAGGTAGCAGTAACATCTTACTGGACAAATCTGTGATCTGTTGAAGTTACCGCTACCCCCTACTCAAGTTATACTCAAGAAGTTATTGCTACCCCTTATTCTGGGAGTGACCCAGAGGATGGGATTTCATTCCATTAATTTAATAGTTATCACTCTTCTTTGTGTCATGTTAATTGCCATTAAGGAAACAATGGGAACATTAACTTAGCTCTCACTGATCTCCAGCACAAAGATGTACACAGTATGTTTGTCAAAAGTTAAAGGGCTTTACTTTTCACTCAGAAATTACAGTATTATTTCCAGACCTTCTTCAGAAAGAAAGTTTGATTAGTCAGAATACAAACAAGAGGCTTACGGATTTATTTCTCCCAATAGGACACTTATTAGCTTTAAAGGCTACATAGTCAATTTAAATCTAAGTTTTAAAGCCTACTACCAACTCCACTGTTACCCTGTGGGGGTGCAATTACACATCACATTTTCTTCAAAGTCAGCATTTAGTTTTTGCCTCCCTCCACACTCTGCTTCACAGTCCTGAAGCTCACAGATGTGAGTGACTGTAGAGCTATGCTGTGAGCTGGATCACTAAGATGATCCAACTAAGAACAAATTAAGATAGCAGGGGGAGCACACCATGACAAGAATAGTAGAGATGAGGCTTGGAGTCTGTACATCAGACGCTGGAATGGTCCGTCAGAACAATGTAGCCTTACAAACAGGTATGACCAGCTTAACTTTGGGTCCAAGACTACAGCACTCAGACAGACATTTCAGAACCTGATTCCAGTATAATCAGCAGTTGGCAAGTAGATATGTTTCTTATGCAAAATAGGAAATCTTAAGCATTTATTGTCTCCACAAGTTGTACATTTGGGTACATAAGATTAAATCAAAACCCCTTGGATGGGGTCTGAGGCCTCTTGGTCCTGATCCTCCCAGATAATTTACAGAAGTACTTATGCACTTCCCTGACCTTTGCTTGGATGAAAGAATTCACAAAGATCAACAAATAGATATTTGGACTTCTCAAGTGACAGTATTAGGCTATGAATTATTACTTACCTCTTGAATGGCAGTCATGACAACATGTTGAACAGACTCTTCAAGGGTCATGATATTTTGTATGTGTTCTGTGAAAAAGAATTTGTAGCGACTCACGACAGTGTTCATTTTAACAGCTGGAGTAACATGCCATACCGTTTGCAGAAAGATCCACAAGAAACTATTCTCTATAAAGCTTCTTCATAAGAGGTAGTGCTCTTTTTACACAGAGCACCAACGTTAACCAACAACATTATTATCCAGTAATAAGCATAAGAGATTATAATCTCTTAAATGAACACATTTGTACTACGCATAATAATATGCAAGGAAATTTTAAGACATCTGTATTTATATGGTTCTTTTTTCATACATACATCTAGATGTATATACATAAGCTTTTCCAAGAGTCAACAAGCTTGCAATTGAGTTAATAAATAAAACTTAAAGGAAAAAAGTAATTGCTAGCATCTTCATTCCCAGTGCAGCCTGATGGCTTACCTCCCAAACACACTCTGATGCAGTCATCACAGACTACCTGGGAATCGTACCTATTCTACTAACAGAATCAGGCTGAGGATTCCTCAGCCATCAGAGCACTGAGCATCAGCTCCAGTAAGGGGAGAGAAAACTCAAGTAATTCAGTCTCGAGCCTCTGCAGACAAACAAAACGCAGTTTCTAATACAAGTTTTTAAGTTAATTCACTTGATTTGCATTTGAATAATAAGTTTTAGGTTTTAGTACATATTTTGACAAGTCTGAATAACCCACACACACCTCAGACTTTTTAAAAAAACAAAAAACAAAAAACAAAAAACCAAAAAAACCCCTACCCTGAGCAAAGCTTGAGTTTTATTCACAGGAGTTTCCCACAGATTTTCTGCTTTTAAGCGAACTCCAGTTTCAGAATAGGCATGCAACATGTTAACAATACAGACTTTTTGATATATAAGAAGGAAAAATGTCTACATCTCTTCCACCTTAACAATCACCTGAGGCAGTCTACTGTTCCTTGAACAGATTAAGGTAGCCCGTACCTTGTTTCTTTTCACAGTTGACTGCACAACCTAAAATAAGCTGCAGAAGCCTGCCCAGTTCAGCGGGATCCGAGTTCTCAGATATCCGGTTTAAGTCCGGAATAAGCTCTTCTGAAATCTGCTGACCCAAGAACTAAAAACCAAACAAAACAAAAACCACAAAACAAATGAAGAGAGAAAGCAGACTCCCACATTCGTACAACATGAAAATCTGGTATCATGTAAGAAATCTGGACTCAGAAAGCCATCCAGAGAAAACAGTCTATTAATAGAAGTTTGTTACTGTAAAACTTATGGAAGGGAAAGATTTTGAACATTAAACATGAAGACACACTAAAAGTATTGACTTACGAAAGAGTACATAGACAGCGATATTAGGAAATCTGAAGAGGCCTAGATAAAGAAGATGTTCTTAAATCATTTGTTACAGGGCTTCACACATGGAACTCAGATGTCACACACTGTGCCTCTCTTGCACCAGCAAAGACCCTTCCAAACGTTTGTCTCCATCCCTCAATGTGGATGCGTGTTTGGGGGAAGGGGTACTCAATCCACCGCTAGCCAATGACCTTTATCATACTTGGCACCTCAGACTTTTCTCTGTATAAGCCTAAATTTAGGCTAAAGTAGACAGCATTAAAAAAATGTATGCAAAACACCCAGCAATTATTTAGCACAATGAAGTTATGCACTTTTTAGTAAGAGTTCTATAAAATTGCTCTGGCAAAACTACAAGTTTTGAACTTCTACTAACCAAGGGATTAGTTCACTGACCACTTACACAGGAAAAAGCAACAGTAGTAAATTACTTCTTGGGCTAGACCTCATATTTGAGAGAATTAATTTATTCTACCAACATAATAATAAAAAAAAGAATTAAAAATACTTCCAAATTCAGTTGTTCCCTAATCCTTCATAAAGCTCCTCATAAGTCTAAAGAAGTTCTGCTTTTGGGCTTGCCAGAGAGCCTCAGTCCTGGCAGTACAGAAGGGTTTGGTACTCAATAGCACAATTAACCCAGGTGAGACCAGGAAGCCATAAGATGGTCTGGCAAGCTTTTCTATACCATACCCATTACATAACTGTAATCAAGCTCCATGCAAAATCCATTCTGCCTTTTTTTTTTAACTCAGAATACAGCACCCTTTTATGGCTACCATACTTACTCTGCATGAGAGAGAACAAACTATAATCCTTACTACACCCAGGAGGATTCGTAACATCTCCCAGCTTCCAAGTGAGGATCATAAAACCTACACTAGGGTTGCTGAATCTGTTCTGTTGTGTATAAAAGGAATAAAACTTCACTAGACAAGAGTAAATATGAATGCACACACAAAAGTCAACACGATTCTGCAGCTCAGTTCTTACGGCGTTCACCTGGGCAATGACAGAGGCATGGCTTCCAGATTATACTCCAAGAGTCCTGTCTAAAATACACCTCCTCAAATTAACGTTCCATTCACTCAGACCTCTCACTTAACTAGATAATCATCATACACTTTCTGCCAAAGAAGTCCTTAAAATAAATTACTTTGCCAAGAAAGGAAAAGAAACTCGATGAAGGAGGACAATAATCATAATGCTTAATGATTAAAACAACAAAAAAGATTGCTGCTTTTTCCATACCTCATGATAGTAGTCCATAATTCCTTGCAGTATCTTCTTCAGATTACTGGACTAATTGTTGTACATGAAAGATAAAGTTACAGGCTTTCATTAAAATTCTTAATTTTGCTGAAATTAATAACAGTAGCTCTACGAGAAGAGCCTATAATGACAGGGAAATAGAAATACTGCCACAGAAAATCCCCATGCAACAGTGCTGGAAGGCACTTAAACTATCAACAGGCAGTTCAAGTTGATTTAAAATAACATAAAAAAGCCTGAGCTTAATGCTGTAGTTTTTGGATTGCTAGACACTCTCAGGACAGACACGATACCTAACTTCAGTTTTGCATACCTTTATTCTCCAGTTGTCACCAACATCATCTTTAATGCGATTTAGCCAAGAGGCATCAAACCAAGCAACATCTCTGAAACAAAATTAAATGATTAAACACCAATAAGCACAGACTTCAATAAACAAGACACTAGATTCTAAGCATTAAATCATCAGATGTTTGACCACAGTGGCTAATAAGGCACGAATTCCTGGAGATTGCAAGTTATACCTACGTCACAGGAAATTTCCATCCTGCTGGCTGCATTAAGAGATCACCTTCCGGGCCAGCAAGAATTTCTGTACGTGCTTGAGCTAGCTACAGCTAGAAACACAAAGGTGTGAAGGCCTTTGTCATGCTGAATTTTTATACCTTACAACACTAACATAATGATGTAAAGAAACATCCTCTTTTGATTAGTGCTGATATTAAGCTTGGTACCGACTCCTGTACATTTGAATTTTCCAACATTTGTTACAACCTGTCAAAGGCACTTATCAAGAAAAAAAAAACCACACAAACATTTTAAACTACTGGCTTTTTATATTTTTTGCATGTGTCTGGTTCCCCTGGGCAGAAGTACGTTCACTTTGCCAGCACAAATATGGATGAGTTGCTGATGGAGGTGTTTACACTCACGGAGGTGCCAAGCAGTACAATCACAGCACGTCTAACAGTATCTTAACTTTTACACAGCACTGTTCATTCACTGGTCTCAAAGCAGCTAATAAAAGACAATAATTATCCCCTCTTGCATATCAACCAACTTGGTTGTAAAGAAATTTGCCCAAAGCCTGCGGCAGCCTAACACCACAAACACATGGGAGGTGACCCTCAGCAAGTTTTCACTAAGCAATCCTAAATCAATGCTTGCCACGCCCCAGGGAAAGGGTGAGCGCTGTCTTTACACAGCATGCTTAAAATCTTTTCAAGCAGACAGGGGAGCTTCTGGGTTTGTTTTTTTTGCTGTTGTTGTTTTGGTTTTTTGGGAGTGGTGGTGGTGGCGTTTAAGTAATTTCTTAGTAATCTACAACACAATTTGAGCAGGAGATGGTAACTCAGACTTCTTTATTATCTGAGCCAACAACAGTAAAATTGCAGTGATGACTTGTAGCATGACATTCTTTCAACAAAAGACTCATGTTACAACCCTCTGGAGTAACTGCAAATTTCAGAACTAGTGTTTCACTCAATCCAGTACCACATCATCACACCAATAAAATGGGAATGATTTTGCTTTTGATTAGCAAACTATTATTTTTAATAATGAAATTACCATTGAAGTGTCACAATTCTTTCTTCCACACAAACAGTACATCACCATTTCAATCCTAGAACTTAAATCTAAATCAACTGAGCAATCCCAAGAGGAAGAGAGCACAAAGACATGCCTTTTGAACTTGTTCCTCACTCCAAAGAGGAACATACTGCCTGAAGCATGGATATCCATGGAAATAGTGTTGATGGGAAAAGTGAAAGAGATCATACCATTCTTGCCCAATTACCCTTAAGCATGAATTTAATACTGGAGTATTAGAATGGAGAAGGCAATGAGGAGATACTCTATCACATTATTATTCAACTGTATCATCCCCAAAACAACAAAGGCATATTTTATCTTCCACTACAAAATGTACGCTCTAAGTTTCTGTCTACTTTAAAAGCCACTATGCAGGTCACACACAAAAACCTGAAGAAATTAAATACCTCTTCTCGAACTTAAGTATCAACTTACATTTGGTGAAGTACCTGTGCCATGGCAACCCCAGTAGTCAAGTCCTGAACATCTCTGCAAGGTGCAGCAGTATTGAAGGTCTGCAACTAAAACAAGGAAAACCATTGTGTTTCTCACTCAGCAGACAGAAGGACAGGAAATTAGTTACTGTTTTCCTTTTCCTCTTTAAGGCACAAGCATTTTGCAAGATATCTTTCTAATTGAGGCAGCTGAAATCCTTTCTGAACTATGCAGTTTTCAAGCCAACTCAATTGTCTCAATACTTGTGACTAACTGATTATGACTAATAGCCTAAAAAGTTAGTACTACTATGCTTTGCTCTTCATGCTAGTCCTTCTATTGTAAATCAGATTATGGAATACTAACTTGGGAAACTGAAGTCACATTTATCCATCCCTCAAATTACATTGCAGTGCTCAGTTCTGGACACATAACTACCTAAACAAAAAATGGCGAAAGTTGGGGGGGGGGCGGGGCGCAAACAAACCAGCCTTTTACTACAAGGATTTATTAATAGAAGCAAGAGAGACCCATGAATTTATTTGTGGGTTAAGAATGAAAGGGAGAGAATTCTGCAAAAATAGCGGGGGGAAAAAAAACCCAACAGTTGTCTGAGAGATACTGCACACTTAAATGATACAAAGATACCTGAAAGACTGAACCATTTCAAGTTTGTGAGCTGGCAACACATTTCCTTGCAATTCAGGAATTCCAAAATTACTCTAAAGATGCTCCTATTAAAATATGCAACTTAAAAATACTGCTATAAACCCAAGAAACTTTACTATAACCTGAAGTTATACATCTTTTCCTGGTAAATATATTTTATTAATATATTATTCCTGGTATTCATACTTTATATATATACAGAGATGTATTTTCCTGTTATTTTCCAAGCATCACACTACCTAGTGTTTAAATACAGGGCTGCACACAGTTTTACCCCACCTACATATTTCTGTCTAAAAATTAAGCAATAAAGCCCTGGTTTTCACTCTTCTCCTCTATTGCAAAACCAGATTATAGATGGAAGCATTTTATAATATGTTTCCCAATCTATTCTCTATGAATTGTTATATGCAATCTTTGTATTCTAACTGGTGTTTCCAGGCACATTTACAATTAAAGCCCCTTTGTAGAAGTACGATATGAACAAGATGCAATTGTCGTCCTAAAGAAAAAAAATCTAACAGCTCAAGTGTTTTGCAGCTAGCTTCTCCAAAAGCAGCTCAAATTACATGAGTACCTTCAACATGCCTACATCCTTACAGAGCACTGCAACTAACACCCAGCAGACAGCTCTATACACGAGAATCCCATCACCAACCTCATGTATAATACTAGTTTGTTACACATCCACAGGCAGCTCTTCTGCTGCCTTGCTGATTTCTGCCTGCAATTCTGACTGCTTCATGTATAAAGCTTTAAAACACTGAGGTACCCAGGTCCTCAGATGACTCCACAGACACTAGAAAATTACTGCAGACTCTGCAAAATACTCCATTAGGCTCCAGGAATGTGTGTCTTTGAGAACCCTGGAGCACAGAGAGTACATTTCTATTTAACAGTCCTCAATGCAGATTTCTTCCATGAACTTGTCTGAGATCCTTTTTGCAGCCACAAACTCAGCATCCAGACATTCTGCACGATATCCCCTCTTGTCAGAGTCTGTCACCTGCTAGCTTCACCTCACTCCTGCCCCCCCTCCCCCCCCCGGCTTCTTGTGTGCCTGGTGAACAGACTCTCCCCCAGCTGTCTTCTCCAGGAGCTCAAGACTGTAGTGACCTCTACCATACTTGTCTCCTCCCACTGTGTAATTTCCAGGGCCAACAGTCTTCATCTATTCAGCCAATTCTCATACGCACGCGCTTCCAAACTTCCCATGAGGATGCTTATTTTTATCTCTTAGTTTTCTGGTTTTCCTGCATCTAAGATCTGTAGGATGGGATTACCTCAATGTTAAAAATGTTTCTCTGGTTTGGATATTGTGTACTTTTTAAAGCTATCCCCAAGCTTCTATCTAACATTGACAGAATTAGCCATTATAATTGCAATGTTTTATTCCCCAAAAAACAATCAGCTTGGAACTAACTATTCTAAGTGAGAGCGCCATTTCCACACACATGCCAGTTCACCCCTCTGGAAAGTAAGAGCTCATCAGCAATTCTTTTAAGTCCTCCCTTCTTTACAATGATGAATAAAATAGAAAGGAGAAAGTTTGCTGTTAATGTTATTAAAAGATGTGCACATGGAATAGAATGGAAGCAAGAACAGATCCTTATTATCTGTCCACCGTGAAAATTGACTTCTTAGGCTCACTCTACTTACAACGTCCTAAATCACCTGTCCAGCTGTGAAAGGGCTTTCCCAAACATCCTGCAAAAGGTAAGTTTCTTCAGAGGTCACTGGGGAATGACCCTGTCAAGTGTGTTTGGGAAATGGAGCTACTTGGACCAGAGTGGTAGAAAAGCACAGTTTCCAGCTGCAAGAATCTGAGGCAGTCATCACCCACTCTACGTTTATGAAGAGTAACCATATACTCCAAATATTTGTTTTCCTGCTTCAGAAAGTCTAACACAGCCAAGAAGAGAAAAATATGGGGGGGTGGGGTTAATTTATTTTTCAATTAAAAAAGTGGGTTTAAAATCCTGTATTACAGAGAGTCAGAAGACAGTAATCCCTGGTAGGTTACATAAAAGATTAAGTAGAAAGCCACAAACTGAACCAGCTGTGATTGACAGCACTGGTTTCTAATACTATAGCAGCCTTAATGCCACAGCAAGTGCAGGCACGTAAGCTTACGAGTCAAGACTGAGCACACCAGAATTCAGAGTTTATTGGCGCAATATCGTGATGCTGCCACTTGGATATACCCCCTTGTAAACCAAAGAAATTGCTCGGTATGGATACTACCATTTCACCCAAGCCTGTTTGAGCAGGTAAACAAAGCCTTAGAAAACCCTGTGACATGCTTTATGTATGCCAGTATCTCCCAGAATAGAAATAGCTAATTAAAATTAAGCAAAAAGCAGGACTGAGAGTCTCAGTTTCTCTGAGTATTTAAGTTACATAAGTGCCTAGCAGTAATATGAGAGTAGAAGTGTTAATTATGGGTTCTGCTAACCTCATGCCAGCCCAATCATTTCCTCAGAACAGATTTTTACTGTCCTTCCAAAACCAATGAAAGTAGTAGGCACAGGCAGGAGGTTGGCAGAAGCAAGCATAGACTTTAGGACAGTAGCAGTACTCTTTCCTTCCCACCGCCCCCCCCGTGTCCCCCCTCCAAATTTGGTTAGTTTTGCTAAATATAGCTTCAATGACATGCTGCTACTCATGCATTTCATGAATCTAGCTGAAATGCACCCTGCCACTTGCTGCTACAAGAAAAGCAACTATTTTTCTCTCAGACATACAGCTATAGATACGCTCATAATACACATCTGAAAATCCGATTCTGTACCACGTAACAATGCCTTTTCTCTGAATCTGCTGAAGGCTCTACCACCAAACAGCTGTAGATGAGCTAAGAGTGTTTGCATTACCTAGCAGAAATCAACCTATCCACCTCTAGGGAAGGTATGCGCTCAATTTCATCATGATGACATAGGGTCGAGGTTCTCCATTTTATACGCAGACTATACACACTAGGGACAGAACTTTTATAGTTAGTCAAAGAGATTTTAAAGTAACAATAAACATTCCCATTCTTAATCCAAGAATACCAATAGAATAACTCAGCCATTGGACAGAGTTAACGTTACCAATACTGCTAGTGCCAGAAAAGGTAGGTCTATTGTGGAAAAAGCTTTCTCTTTCAGATGTTACCATACATCCAGTCTCTAGCTTGGAGGCAAAGACAGAGGCAGCCTCAGAGCGATACAGTACCAAAACACATCCAACTAACTTTTTCTCTTCTACAGTGAAGAAAGCACCTATTGTAATGGCATCTAAACACAGAAGATTCTATTGCATCACCAGGCCTACTGCTGCCACTCTTATCGCTCCACTCCTATCCACAGGCGGAAAATATTAACGCTTACTTCACATATACTTACTAAAGTTTGTCTTTCCAACTTAGAAAATTGTTTCTGCAACAGACTTGTGAGTTTAATCTTAACAGATAATACTTAAATCCATTTTCCTTGGAAACTCGTGTACATTTCCCCTATAATCTAATTCCCTTATGTTTTTCCTGTATCACCCTCAAAACTTTAAATTCAATGACACCTGGGTTGCAGAACTAATAGATAACATTTTTATTAAAATTTTCTCTTTCTTCTCTGGACAACGCATGTTTTCTAATACAGAATTTTAGTACAAATGTAAGAATTTAGTACTGAAAGTACAAAAAACCCAACGAGATCTATCAGCAGAACACAGAAAACCACGAGCATCTCTTCACTATATTCATGAGTAAAATGGAGAAACCTTTAGAACCACAGAGTGTAATAGAACCCATTTCTCTTCAGATATGCAGCGCTTCATTCCTCCCTCCCCAGATCATGTTTTTTTCCTATTACTCAGACTGAAGTTCAAGTTGAAAGGATGCTTGAAACATATCTTAGCGTTAACAACCAGTTTCTACCAAGTTGTAAACTAAGTCTGAGAAATAGGGTGTTAAATCTGAAAACATGCATCAGGCGACACATCTGCTCAGTGTTGTATAGAAAACCTGAAACTCGAACACACAGAGTTGGATGTTCATTTACATTGATGACACTACACAAAGCTCTTTCAGATCACGGCCAGTTAAAAGTTTGACTAGCATTCCCTCTAAGATTCATGATGTCATTACAGCTATGTACTGTGAGAATACCAAAAAGTAGAATTAGGCTTAAAATATTTTAAGCAGGAATTGTAAAGTTGTAAGAATTCGGCACCGCTGACATGATTTTGAGACAAGAGTTCAGGAATGGTTTGATTTATTTTGCAATTGAATCGTGGTGGGAGTTACTCTTATCCGACTACCAAGAGGAAAATATAAAGCTAAAGAGACCAGAAAAAGAGAAGGAAAAGTACGCACAGGTTAAATGACAAGATAACCAACTCCAAAGAGGTGAGCATGAGACAATGGAAATTC